TTTCCTTACAAACCTCTTCTCCTGAGGCAACCTGATCTTGCTAGAGGGTCATGGTATGTCTGTAGAGAACTTCACCCCATTGCAAAGGCTTGAGAGCAACAAGCAATTTGATGTTTGGAGACCCCTCTCTTTCTTCATCCCCCTTTCTTCATCCCTCTACTTCTGACCCACGTCTCATTCACGCCTCTTCCTTCTCTGAAAGCAAAAGGCCTTCCCAGCCCCACACACCGACAGCTCTTCTTTGCTCCAGGGATGGCAGTGGGCCTGTTTCCAGTCCTGGGCGCTTTCTGATGCTCAGATCTGTGAAAGATGAGCAAAGCTGCATGCCTGGTGGCCAGCACAGGGCTCGAGTCTCAGATGTCAGGGTAGCATTGGCACCTAATCATACTGGAACAAAGCATATCTACGCTGTGATACAGCTCTGGTGTCAGTACATTGCTAACCCTAGTAGCTAGCCCTCACAAAATGTGTATGCTGCTGCTCTGACATCACAGTTTTGCAGAAACCCATTGAATAGAACAGGGTGGTTTCCAGTTCCTTCTCAGGTTTTTTCTTCTCTATGTGGTGAGTCTGGCTCAGAATGACACAGTAATCTTCCATGCACAGCGGGGTTTGAAACCTCAAGTTATCACCAGCATTGCACAGACATCAGTCACTTCAGTGGTTCAGGAAAATATTTCCCTCACTTTCGCTTGGAAGCAAAGAAAGAAGTGGCTTGGTGCTGTGTTCACCTTTGGGAGAGAATGGGTTTCGGAGGGCAGTGTGAGCTGGAAAAACTCTTGTGTTAGATGTTACCCCCAGGGAAGGATGCGATGCTAGGACTGGGAATGGGCTGGGGGTGGGAAGCTAGCTCTCCCCTCCTCCGTACACACGCACATTCTTACCAAAGCTCATTTTGAAAGTTCAGAGGTGTCCTCTATCCACTGCCTGCAGCTGCTGCTTTGGCAGAGCTGTTAGGCTGGCTTTGCCTTTGTTACGTTCAGTGATTCCAGCAAACTGCCAACATTTTATGAGGAATGCAAATAAAAAAAAAAAAAGGATGTGACAGTCCTTAACTGTTCCCAACTCAGGTAAATCTGGGCAGGAATTTCTGGGGCAGAGGGAGGTATTGCTCTACCCAGACAGCTTCCCTCCCGTCAGGTGCTTGCTGCAAACAGTGCTGAGAGAGGTACTCGAGGAAAAATCACAAGAATCCTTTTTCTATATAGCACAGTCTGTGAAGTTATAGATCACTCCTGACTCTCTTAATAACTGATTAATGAAAAGCTTTTTGTATTCTTTGTGAATATAAGTAATAATTGAATATGAGAACAGCGAACAATACCTAAGGAGACAAGTTTTGTTTTCTTCACCATCAACAGCGGCAGAGCACAGGCAGAAGCACATATTTCTTCATTAGTGGAGCGTTCAGGATTCTGATGAGGGTGATGAAATAACGCCATGAATATGCCACCGTTATTGAAGGAATTCAGTGTTAATACCTTGGCAATTTTGGTGCAAATGCTGCCACTTACAGTCTCTTGATCTCTTGAAGGGCTGTAAGGTGAAGCTCAGCGCTCGGCTCCCAGGAGGAGGTGGCAGCTCTGAGCAGACATCTCTAACGGCAAGCTGTGACACCAGTGACCAGAGCTCAGGATGTAGCTGTTGAAGCTGCCCCAGGTCTATCGACTTCAATGTTAGACACGTTTGCTTTTCAATAGCATATAGCGGAGAGTGCAATTCCAAGTGTTGGATGTTTAGTAGCAATGACAGCATTATATATCTATATACCCAGATAAAGAGTCAGCCCAGAGTGCGTAGCCCAATCTTCCCCAGTTCTAATGGTCAACTCTGAGCACTGTAAGAAATCAGCTTTGGGATCTCTTGCCTGTATCGTGCCGCTCTAACGCTCTAATTCTCATTTTCTGCATTAGGCAGTGCCTTCCTTTCTCCTACTAGATTTTATGATTTTATTCACATTTTGTAATTATAAGTTAATACCTTTGCCTTAATGAATCTCTGCTTTTCTTCCCAGTGCTGCAAAGAGTGTATTCTCATAAAGTGCATTGCTTCTTTCTTCTTTTCCTCTTTGCTGTATATACTTTGTCTTTTATAAATGGTAAATGTTAATAAAAGGTTTGAAACAGAAACCAGCTTGATATGGAAGCTCAAATGCAAACCCTCCCCTCGTTACCTGGCATAGCAAGGGGCTTCAAATATTTTAATTTAAACCTGTGCTCTGTGGATTTGACTCCACATCCTACCCTAACCTGAAAAGGCTTATTTACCAGAACAGATGGGAGCTGAGTTGACAGATCCTCATAAAATTGACTTGTGAGAGACGATGTTATCTCATCGTGTTCGAGACAAAACTAAGCCAAAATGAAAAAGCTTTGTTGAGCTATTCATGCTGCATCTGCCTTCCCAGAGTTGTTCCAGTTCCAGGTAAATGTGGGAACTGTGAGCTCTTCGAAGGCAGCTGAGCTTTGTCTGGAGGAACAGTCTGAGGCCTTGAGAAAATTCTTACACAATTTTTTCTAGTTTTCTTCCCTTTTTGATGTCCAAACCAGGAGGATTTTTGTGCTTCATTGGATTTCATTGCAAAAGAATGGCTCAGTTCGCTTGTAGCTTTCCAGCTGTCCCACACAGCCCTGATATAAGACTTTAGGAGGCTCTGGTGACTTTTATTTACCCTCTGTTTTCCTATAAATTGGAATATGCAAGCTGGCTTTTCAGCGAGCTGAGGTGGTTAGTTGGTATTGGAGGCAGAGGCTCGGTTTGCCCAGTGGGGTGCTGCCACCTAGTCGCAGCCGGCCTGGCTGCAGCAGAGGAAGGCGCCCGGGCAGGAGAAATCCCTGTTACCTCCCTGGATCTCGAATACACGTTCAAGTCTTCTGTGCTTTGAGATTCTACATGCAGAAAAAAACTAAAGTACAATAGCATTGGGACTCATCCCCGGTAATGATCTAAACTAATAAATGATACTGTGTTTCCCGAAGAATTTGGTCAGCTGGGAAGCACCAAAGTCTCCAGTTCAAAGCTTGGAAAGGTCATCTCCATAATAAGTTTTGGGAGTGGTTCATTCTAAAACACTTCAGCCCATCTCCTAATGTTTCTAGGGTGGAGATAGAATAGGAAATATCTGTAGCAAGATCCTAGATCTCAAATTCTGTGGCAATTGAAGTAGAGACTTAGAGCCAGCGTACATTCTGTGCATCTCAGGAGATGCAGATGTAGCACAGAAGACAAGCTCCAGGAAGGATAGGAGGATGTAGCTGGTTTTTGCATCTTCTGGAAATTGGGCCAATTGGAAAGCCAAAGTGGTCCCCAACATAAACTAAAGCAAGTAGCTACTCCAACTTACTGTTGAGCTGTGGTACGGTCCAGAACGACTGAGGGCTGACCAATATGGCATAAGCTCTCTCCTGCTCCCAAAATAGCACACAGCAAAGGCTGGCAGGATGGATCATATGAAGATGCACACCGTGGCTCTCCATTGCCTAAGCATGAGAAGAATTCTCTGAGAGGCCATTCCGTTCCCCTTATGACTCCTCCATAGCACTCCAGCGACATAAGGGAACTATAGGAAGGGCTAGGTTTGGCTGTGTTACTCAGGGTTCAGCTGCTGCCTCGTCACTTCCTCTGGTAACTCATCTCAACTCAGAACTTGGCTTCTTCTGGATCCCAGCTTCTCTCATCATCATGAGTCAAGGGGGCAGCCAAACACACTGCTCCACTATGCCATGTGTCATCATACGCATGTGTGTAGACACGTTCTACATTCTCATAAGCCTTTCCAAATGTTTATCTAGGATTAGGAGAACTTGAACAAATAGTCATAGTTATCAGCAATGAGCCACAGAAACATAAGGCTCCCTAAGCTTCCCAGACAATGGAGCATGAACAAGTAAAGTCTTGGTAGAAGCTTAGCAAGATCTCGCAGATGCCAGCAGAAACACTGTCTGCTGCAGCCAGCTTCATTGCTGATAATACTTGCTCCCAGAAGGAAAAAAAAATAGGTCAGCTTGTGAGTATTCATGAAATAAGAAGTCAAGAGCTCATGCCTCAATA